CACTGTGAGTAACGCCATTTGTCACAGCACCACTACCGCCCATTTTTTTTCAAGATAAGGAAAAATGTGCCGTATTCAAGTCCCTTCTGGAAAGATGAATAACCGGGTAGGTCATGCATTTGACTTGAATCCAAGTCTGCAGTGCGAATTGGCTCATAAAAGGAATGCGTAAGGGCCTATGTTCGAATCAGTGTATTTATTCTTATTGGTACCAGGAAAGTGATAGTACATAAAGGAGGGTAGAGCTTCAGGCTTCTGTCAGTCCTTTGGTGGATGTGCAACGCGCTCCCCTCTATTCCCAGTCGTAGCAGCAATCAAACGATTTGTCCTACACAATGACCTGCGTGGACAGCAGTCATATTATCCGCTGTTTATATCCTTACAGAAGAAGTTGGTAACTATGCAATGACTAAACCTAAGGAGACGAAATGGGTTCATCTTTGTTTGAAGATCCGACTGGATTTTAACCCGGGTCAAGCGTGCGTTGAGGAATCCTCGACACGTCGACAGGGGGGGGCTTTACTCCTTTTAAAGAGAGGACTAATCAATAATGATCATTCTTTGACTTTTTCACTTTTGTACTTCTTGAACGAATTTTTTGGTGGAGGGTGGGGTAGCAGGGCTTTTTTATGAGCAGTTTTGGGGGAGAATTAAACAACCTTTTCATAGTTCGGCTTGAAGAGTTCTTGAAGAATTTCCTCGACGCCTCGCTTGACCCTGCTTGTAACCCTGACCGTGCGTTTGATAACTCCTCACCCACCATTCCACTATGTATAGTATTAGTGGAATGAAATTCTCGAATTTAATGAAAAAAATGAAAGGTTGTACCTGCTCAAGAAATTTTTGTAACAGCTTATCGTTTTACAGTTTCAAGTTAATTGCCGGGATGTAAGCAAAATTCATCTAAAGTGGAGAAGTTCTACATATGTGACCGAAAAGTCTTGGGAAAGAAAAAAAATGAATGGAACAAAAAAGAAAGAATAAGGCTAAATCAGCTTTTCTTACTGTGGAAGCCACATTTCTTGGAGCACTTCCTTGTTTTCCAGGAAGTGGACATCAACTTCGAGAACGTTTGTCGTCTTCACCCTCGTGTATTGAGAATTGCGAGCCGATCATCAGCCACAAAGTATCATGTCAACACAGATGTCTTGTGTCGGATGAACAATACCCAGACTAGAGAAAACTCGTGAGTCTTCGCCCTAGCCGGAGTAAAAAACCTTCCAGGATGTTTGGTATTATAAATTAAATGATAAAGAATCAAGCATTCCGCGGTAATCAATCCTTTTTGGATTCTCACGCATTCCAATTTCATTCAGAATTCGTACTAAGTTAAAGGGATTCTTCGCAGAGAATTCTTGCATTC